TACAATAAATGTGAGATGGAGCGAAGTTTGTGATTTCAAAGGAAGTTTTGACCAAATAAATTAGTACTACATTTAAAATCACAGAGGAGAAGACCTTTTTGAAGTTATTAAATTAATTAAATATTTAATATATCACAAATTCATCTTAAATTAAAACTGATTTGGAAATGTAACTAAAATAAAAAACAAAATATCACTTAACCTATATATTATATTGAAATGTCATTAAGTTGATTTAACCTCACAAAAAACAAGGTCATTGCGTTATTGCGTTACTATTTCCTACTTGAGTTAAATTATGCAATTAGGCATTCATCAAAGCGAGAAAATACTTCATCAAATATTCCTTAAGGGAGGTTTATGCTTGAGTTCCTTTCAAGTATGTATATACTTCAGCCTAAAGGGGATTACCCCTTTCTTCACCATAACTACGTCACTGATATTGATGAATTTCTTATTTAACTCCAATCATTTAAATAAAAGTTTATGTTGTTTTCTGTTTATGTTGTGAAAACAGGTACATCACTCCAATAACAGGTATACTATCAAATTAAATAAGAAAATTCCTCTGCAATTAATATTTATATACGTAGAATAGATTCGGGCAATAAGCAATTTTAACAAATGTTTTTATTGTTAAAATTAATTAAATTAATATTAGTTATGTTAGCTACGAACATAACAAGTTCCAACATGGAAGGTGCGAGGAGTGATGTTTGGATACAAGTAGTAATGGACAAAATTTGAGATGAATTTCCAATTCGAAAAACTATGGAAAATATTTTCATAATAATATTCTAATATATTTTCTTTTACAAATATTTGCGATTTACACTTTGTATAACTCTTGCAAACAAAACACACAATTACTTAAAATATTTGACTTAAATAATATAAAAAAATCTTACAAAATCTATAGTTTTATTTATATTTTTATTTATGTAATCATTAAGTTCCTCAAATTTAGTATTTAACTATATAAGTATATTGATTTAAATTGGTGAAAAAAACTGGACGAGAATAGTCGAGATTAAGATACGAACTAAATCTAAATTAATAAATCAAAACATTGGTTTAAATGAAACTAATAATTCAAAATCCACTACTCATTTTGCATGAAAACTCAATCTGTCTCCTAAAAAAATTATTAGAGAACTCTTTCCAAAGTTGGGGTCGCATTTCCTGACAGTTGAACAAAAACAACTACGTATTGATGACTTTTAAGGCTATTTGGAGCTATGGAAGTGAAATAAAAAAGACTTGTGTATCGATGTATAACAATACTTCACTTCATAGTCGCATCGGCATTAAGCTGCCGGTAGCTGCCGAACCTCGTCTAAAATGGCAAAAAAGAGCAACAGATTGTTGGCAAGGTTATGTCGTCCATATTTTGGGATGCACTTACTTTCATCGACTAACTACCTTAAAAAAGGTCAGAATATCAATTGTTATCGCTACATGGCCCAACTGTTGCGTTCAAAGGAAGAAACCGCAAAACAACGGCCCCATATGAAGAAAAAAAAGTAGTCTTTCCTAGAGACAATGCACTATGTCACAAGTCGTTGGCTACTATAGCTACCATGGCTACCATGAATTATTTCAGAACCCACCATATCAATATTCGCTAGATTTGGCCCACAGCGATTACTACCAGTTTGCAGACCTTGACTAATGCTTCCGAGAAAGAGATTTGGCTCCAATAAAAAATTTACCGTAAAAACTAAAACATATTTTGCTGCAAAACATGAATGATTTTACAAGAGAGATATTGAGATATTGATATATATATGTTAGCGAACAGCTGGAATTATTGTAATACTCTTGAAAGAGAATTCATTGACTAATACAATCGAATTTTACCAAAAAGTTGTTTTATTTGATATCCTGTAGTCTTATCGACCAATATGTTATATGAAGATATACATATCTGAAGTAAAAATATAAAAGCAATCTTCATTCACGTGATAGTCTGCCACATGTCGAGAAAGAGCACAATTTATTGTTACAATTTTGTTTCAATACTCAAGAAAAAATTTTGCAAATTCATTTCAAAATTTATTCCAACCACAGCGTCATTAGCATTAGCTTCTTATCTTTACTGGTTTTCATATTTTTTGGCCACATATAGACATGACCCATGAACCTCTAAAAAATTGATTGAAATTTTAAATAGTTTTCCACACATCATGTGTCTTAAGGATTGACAGCTATATCCAAATTGCAACCGATTATCGATTGTACTATTAATTTGCGAAAGTTTTTAGGTTATACATAGCTAAATAAAACATTTGAAGCACATTATTTATTATATGTGTTACTATATTACTTATATATTACTATTATTTAATTTATGTAAATATTTCAAATATTTGTGTAAAATTTTGTTTGCAAAGCATTTTGCAAAACGTGTATCACATATTTACTTTAAAACAGTTATTTTAAAATAAATTTCCAAAACTAAAATTTTTTAGAGTCTATCATTTGGACATTTATCATTGCCTATCAATAGTTACAAGTATATACTCGATACTATTCTTTTGATGACATGCACTTTTGTGTTGAAAAATTTCCTTCGGTACTTACTTAGCATTGAAAGAAAAGTATCGAGTATTTACGCAATACTGACTCTTTGTGGGTATTGAATTTTTTTATATAACTATAATACAGTCTTTTTATTTTTTCCTTATAAAAGATAAATACTATCTATGAGTGTTCATAATATAAGCATCTATACTTACGACCTATTAATATGGAAACAAGTGCAAAATACTGCTGAAAAAAAAACTCAAATGAATATGTATCGATACACTTAGATAAAATGCTTCCCGTTGTTGTCACTAATCTAAACTAAGTATAAAAAAAGTGTTCATATCTCAACATATTATTCCAGGTCTTTCAAACTTCCAAAATATTTTATAAAAGAATTTCTGCAGTAGGATTTCCTTTTTATTCACATCACGGCAATTTCTAATATTTTTGTACTTTTTATAATTTTATTATTATTAGTTTAAAATATAAAATATTTTTGTTCCTCATATTCTTTCTATTGCTGTTTCTAATATTACTTGTTTTGTATTCACTATTAGAGTTATCAACTATATACATATATTAGAATGTACATATATTATATATTTAAAAATGAATTTATAATCAATTTAATTTAATTATTCAAAAACTTATAACCAGAAAACAGGCAAATTCACTTCGTCATTTCTTATTTAGATCTATTAGACAGACTTTAAAACTCATAAAAATTAATTTGTCTGACTTCTACTCACCAATAAAGATTCCGCGATAAATAAGCTATCACAGATCAGGTCCATATAGTACACAATATTATAAGAAAGGCCTTAGAACATAAAAAATTCTGTACAACTGATATATTTAATATATTCTCTAAGCATTTGTTTTCGCATTAAAAATTATGTTGTTTTATTTATAACTTGTTTACACTGTTTTCTATGAAGTTCTAAAATCCTATCTAAATGACATACCATATTATTTTGAATTAAAGTAAATGGTGTTTACAGACAAGATTATATTAAATTATAAACCGTACCACGGATAGCGTACTAGAGTTATACACATTAATTGTCACCGTTCTGCCGCTCCCCAATCGAAAGGATTGTAGTCGAAACCGTGTTTACTGTCAGGGGACTTTGTTTGTAACGAAACACGAATAAACCTACAAGGACATCTACTGAAAATACAAATTTAAATTAACAACCCATTAGCTCGTAGAATAATGTCTTACAACTGAAACAAAATGCTTTACTAGAAGAATTCCAACATTTACCTTTTACTATAAATAATAATTTGATGTTATCTATATTCGTACTATATCTATATTTGTCTGCAAGAATACTCTGTTCTTCTTTTCCTATTACTGATATCCTGAAATCCTTCTGGAGCATAGGGCCTCTTTTCCTATATTCATTATTAACTAGTAAGATTAATTGCAAGACAATGGTCGCATTTGCGTTTTCTTTTTTAATAAACAGATTACACAGATCAAATGGAAGTTAAAAGATATTTTAAATTAATTTCATTTACTGCGAACAAAATTTATTTTATTCAACATAAGAATATTTGCTTTTTTGGACTTCATTACTTTAGTAAATGATGCAGGGATTTTTTTTCTTTATTTTATATTTCTGTTGTTAGAAATACTAGTGAAATGTTAAAAGTGTTATTATGAAATGAAACTAATTACATATATTATTATAATATTTTTAAAAAAAATTTTGTATACAATAACATATAGTGTTTGTAATAATTTATATTGCACTCATTATCATGAGTTGTTTTACGTTTTTTGTTGTAAAATAAATATTTTAAATTATACAAAAGAATTAGTTTTATTTCACATTTAATTTGAAATAAGTATGTAATAGTTATTTACATTATGACAATTAAGACTACAAGTGTATAAGTGGTTTCGATAATTGCAAATGTAAACATAGTATAATTCTCCCAATGCAAATATTTGTCAAAATAGGAAGAAACCCAAATTTCATTACTATACATATCGACTATTTTGTTTAAAATAACAGATTTACTTTTATAATTAATTAATTATTACAAAATCATTTCATTCATATTCATCGATTCAAAAAAAGAAAAACCCATATTCCCAGTCTTTGAATTTTGTTAGTTAGAGAATCAGAAACGAATCAGAAAGATAGACAACGATATGCTAGACTGATTTGTCCCGTCACAGATTTGTCCATAAAACTTACGGCGAACTTATATAGTCGCCGACGTATTCTTCACCACATTACAAATATCTTAACAAAACAAAACTGGTCAACGCTTTCTTTAAATCAATTTAGAAATCAGTGTTTTGATTGCTGTTGCTTTCATTCATTAATCAGAATATTTTTGTTGAGTATTATTAATGTTTCGATATATTGAACAAACAGGTCTTTGGTTTTTAATGCGAACTTATTAATTTTTCGTTTAATGTATAATTTAATAACATCAAAACAAATAATTTTTACCTTTATGTGACATTTCATCAAATGTTATGCGATCAATCATCGTGCTTGACCACGGAACTACAGTGCCCATTGTCGAATTTGGTGGTAATGCAAACATTTTAGTAAATTGATTTATTTAATATGTTAAATTATTGCTTTTATCACTGTATTAAAGAAATATTGATTAAATTTGCAAAACTGTGAAACTATGTAAATTTTTTTATGTAATTTATTTTATTATTTATAATGAATAATTTTTTTTTAATTTTCACCCTTTCTTTAATTATTTTTTACACATTCATAGAATAATACGGCATTGTTCATTTAACACACAATCACATATTTAACTTCTTCATTTCTTTAATTAAGCAGAGGAAAGTTTCAATTAGTGTAAATATTTTAAAATTGCAAGATAAAGTATAATAATGTATGTGCAATAGCGATCATATACATAGAGGTTTTTCAATATTAAAAGTAATAAATGTCAACATTTGTTTTTGCACATAAGCTGCAGCTCTACAGGTGGCCTAACACAGCATGCTCCACAACGTATGAACCACTTAATATAAAACATTTTTTTTATTTTTGTTTTTTGTTTTAGAATTGGTTTTTGTTGTCTTATTTGTATTACGTATTATTTTAGTAAAAAATTAACTCTTTTATTCCACCGAAAACAACATTACATATATTTGTAACGGTTACGTATAAATATTCACATCACTCTCATCATAATTAGTAGTGTTTAATACGTTGGTGTTAAATATATGAATTTCAATAAATTCAATTATAATTTATTTTTTTAATGTTCATTTTCACTAATTAAATATGTTCAATTGCAGTTTCAATAAATCTACAAAATATACTGATTTGCTCAATCAGGTTTACCGTAGCGCGACATTACTAGAATCGAATGGTTTTTCTTACTAAAAGCTTGAATTGAACATTCATATTTGTTAAAAATTGAAAAGACTTTTTCATTGGCTAGAAACAGTCCAATCAGAAATTAGTATTACTTCGCGCATGATTAAGTAGGTGTGGTTTTATTATTATGGAACGCACTAAGGTATTGTTGTAATTGGGTAACATATTTATTGCAGTTAATAAATCTTTAAATATTGTTTTATAATTTATTCCTTTAATAATTTCACTAATAAATGCAAACCAAAACAGTAATTATTTATACTATTCTGTAATAATTTTGATAATCAAATACAGATTAGTGTATTTCACTAATAGTTTCATTTAATAATTTAAACTGTTATTAATATATTAATACTTTGAGAACTTTTAATAATAATGTTTTCCACGACATACGTTTAAAGCAACGATTTAAGTTTTTCTTTGGCATAATAAAACTTCCTTGAAACTAGGCGTATCTATTAATTATTCTCTTTGGTTGCAACATTTCCGATTTGGTTTCTATGGGTTTCCGTTCACGTCCACAAGAAAAAACGGCATGCAATGAAATATTTCCTTAAAATCTGTAACTGTGTCAACCCTCAAATGGTTTTCATCAGCCACTCCTTAATATTATATGCATAAAGAGTGGTAACTATTGTAACATTCATTTTATTAGTTGATACATTATATATCCATCTCGTTTATTCTTATTCAATTTGTATGAAATGAATTCTGTAAAGCACACTTATCCATAATCACGTATTCATATTTTGAAATGCTTTACAGACTATGCCAAAGACAAGGGAATAAAGTGAATAACATATACAATTTGTACAATTTGTTGAATGTATTTATTTATAAATATATTTAAAAATTGAAATACAATCGTTTGTTAACAATTTTTTCTACTGGTGCACCTGCATTCATTGTAGTAATCTTTTTGTAGTTGTTATATTATAGTTTTTAATAGATTTACTAAGAATATCATACCAAATATGTAGTTCTTTTAAAGAACTTAATCAATAAGAAGCCTAAATCCTCCTTTAATGTTTTCTTAAATTTTAACTTTAAAATTAATTTGACAAGTTTGCATTAAATGTCAAATACACCGTTTTGGTGTAAAACACGTATTTGACGTTGTATATATGTATGTGTATACACATAAAAATATTTATTTTCTTTATATAAAAAAAAATAAAATAGTAGTTTGGAATGAATTAAATCAATAGAAAGAAAGATAAATAGACAAAAATAAAGACGGACAGCTCTAAATCGATGCGTCTCGTCGATTTGATCAAGAGAGTGGCTTTTAGCCTTCTTATCAAATTTGACGTAAACACTCAAAAGCGTGGGCAATTCCAAAGTTTTAGAAATCCTAGATACTTGATATATTACTTTATCAAAATACTAATACGTCTCAATAGTAATTTCAGAAGTTAAGGCGCAAATACTATATTATTTTTTAAAATGCAAAGAATATGTAAGAAATGCCGGAAATAATAATATGTCACATTTGTGAAATTTTAAATTTATTTTTAATCTTACCATATGGAGAGATTTTAAAAATATTAAACAGCAAATAAAAATTTTTCCGGGACTCTCATATATGCTAAATCCGTTATTGTAAATGATATGCAGTTTTTGCATATATACTATATAAAAAATTGATTTACAAATTAAGAAACAAATTGATCATTAGATTGTTCTTTTTACTGATATTAAAATCAAAAAAATCAAAACATTTTTAAATCATTTATTTATAGTTTAATTAGTTCCAAGCAATTTTCATTCAATTTCAATGTTTGGTATCAAAAACTTGTATTATAACTTATCCACTAACACATATTTGTATGGAGTTTGTATAGAATATGTCATCTATGACTGCATATTTGTTGAATTATTTTTTAAATTATTTGTTAAATTTAATTTGTGAAACGTACTATTAAATCATGATCAAAACATATTTGTACCTGGATCTTTTTAAATTGTGTGTATAAAATATAAATTTTATATGAATCAAAGTGATGGCAGACACACAGTCAATTTACCAACCCCAATTAAATTTTCTGATAATTTTTAATCTCTTAGAAATATGAAAAAATATATACCGTTGAAAAATTGTGTAAAATCATTTATTAATCATAATCTCATGAAATATTATAGAAATTCTATATTAGAAGAAGGTGCAATTTAGGATCTGCACTAATACAAAAATATGATTTTCAATTATAAAATAGTTTATGTTATGTGGGTGTCACAAGGTATTGAGCAACGTGGATCAAATGATGCTGGAATTAAATGACAAGCCGCATATAAATGTTTGCATTTTTATGCCATTTAATAAGTTGATCTTCTGCAAAAACTGAAATATATAACAAAAAATGACAAACACAACAAATTAAAAATTTAATATTTTCACAATTTTTTTTTTCCAAGTGAAAAAGCTTCGATGGATGCAAATATGAATTTTCTTGAGTCTATAAAATTAATCGCCAATATTTGACTTCATAAAACTCCGACGATATCAATACTGCAGTAATAAATTACATAGTACTTCATCTTTTATTGCTTTAAGAGTGAAAAATGAGCATATATATCATACGTTAACATTTCAAAAGTACACGGAGAAAACATTTTGAAAAAGGGAAAAATATATGAAACAGAAAATGAAAAAAATGTTAAAAAAAATAATGCCCTACAAATTAAACAAATAGAGTTGAGACTGTAGGTATATATGTGGACTAAAAGCGACTTATCACTAAAGCTCTGAAGAGAATTTTTGTGTAAGTAATGATAAAATAACAACATCCGCAAGTTTTCAATTTCTACCAGAAATAAAAATACTATTATTTCCACTAACATTTCGAATTTTACCTGTTTAAACACCGTTCAATCTACAACAACGTATTGTCATTCGCACATGTACTACTTATGAATCAAATATCTCGAAAATAAGAGCGTAAAGGTTTTTAATATACAAAACAAAGAACGCAGAGAGCAAGTCACGATAGGTGAACTTATCAAACAAATTATGAGACAATGTTTAGGACCATGTTATACATGGAGTCATATGCCGAATTGGCACGGTAGTTGTGCGCTCTTTTTGGTCATGACCAAAAGACATTTCATATAGAGAGGCATATCATTGTTGCCAATTACTTACTTTACTATTATTTTGGTAATATATTTACTCCTCATGGGCGCAAATTCTGACATTTATTACTATGAATAGGCACATAAAGCCTCTTTACCGTGCCATTTCCCGTCGACAGTTCTCTCTTTCACTCGTTCTCATTATATTAAATAACATTGACAACAACAATAATTTTAAATTTAACGTGACCATGACTGTCTCTAACTATTAAAATTGTTGAAGATTTGGTGGTATTCACAGGACATCTAATATATGTATATAATAAAGAATGTATTTGGTTTTCACTGACTTTCATCATTTTATAATCTCTTAAATACTCAGCTTCATACTTAAAATTAGATATCCTTACACTTAATATTTTCAAATATATTTAATTGATACTTAATAGAACTTAAGCAAGTGGGCATAACTCTTTTATTAGATCGGATGGATTTTTTAATAAGAATTTCTCAAATAATTTCAGCCTTTTCTCTCTTTTGAGCATCTACTGTTTCTCTTCTAAAATCTTCGAAAGTAGTTTTTTATGAGGCACTTAGTAATCTCCATAGTGCTTTGTTTCGATCAATTTGTAGATGTCTCCATTCATTATATTTATTAGCAATATGTTTAATATAATAAACTGAAAACCAAAATTTAGCTAGAACTTGAAGGAAGATATACAATCACCAGTTTGAACAAAATACACCGTCGTTACTATTGAATAAATATCAAATGATTTTTTCTTAGTACTTCAGAGTGTATATTTGTTACAAAATTAATGATTCTTATACAGTTTCAACTTGAGCCTGATAGATGGATGATAGATGCAATTAATATTTTATAATTGATGTATGGAACTAGCATTATCAGTACGTTTGCTTTAAATTTTGTATCAAAGCAGTGATAAAGGAATGAGCATGATAATTCTGAAATATTCTTCACTAGAATATTCAGAACACTTCTGCTATTAGTAGTTGAACTGCAAAGAAGTCTCTAGAAAATATTGATGCGAATTAATAAATTTGGAAAAATTCTTCTGTAGTTTGTTAAGTTTAATAGATTGACTTTGTTATTGTGCTTCATTGTTGAAGTTAAATGTAGAGAGTTTTTCTGAAA